AGACTCTGGCTCCAAACGAATCTCTACTGCGCAGACTCGGGCTCCAAATGACATAATTTACTCAAGATGGCAGCGGCCATACTGAGATGCTTTGGCTTCACTTTTCAATAGTGGAAGGAATAGGAGACGCGTCGTTACTCATTCCCGCAGCTTTCGAGTTTAAAATGAGGGAAATTCCTGCACATATTTATTCAATATAGCATGCAGGTTAGATGAGCAAATAAATCCACACAGACTGTCAGATTAAATCAGTCATTTGAAAACCGCGTGAGTGATTCAGCTGTACCGCGTCTTCTCTCTTTCACTCTCTCAAAGTGGCTTCACATTGGCGTATCTCATCTGCACTAAAAGAGCTGCTGTGATACAAGACTTTCACTCGCGTTTCGGGACAGTTGACAGATGGCAGGGGCCACTTGTGTTTTTAGGGAGCACACTTTTAAAATTCTACTTAAGGTTCTATTCTAACCTACTATCAGTAATATTCATTGTCATTTTTTACCATGTCATGTATCACTGCAATCGCTAGAAGTAAGCTATAACAATTTCAACTCAAATGAATGTTTCATCATGTTTCATTTATGTGACAAATAATATTGTATATAATAATGTAGTCTGATACAATACAAAAGCTCCTCGTTGAAGTGCATTGTCTCCTTTGAGTAATTTCCTCTTGACATAAAAGTTATGGCACAATGAATTACTTTTTTCCATTACTGCCACCCACAGGAAAAACTGCACATTGCACCCAAAATTGTTTGGTGTGGTACGATTCAAGCCCTGCGTCCCAATGTTCATACTATGCATCCTAAATAGTATGTGAGATTAGAATTAGTGTGTCCCAGAGCATAGTATGTTGAAAATAGTATGCCGCCAGTTTACAGTGACAGGGTGCGTGTAACTGCGGCAGAGGGGTCCGATTAAAGACTCGATGTGACGTGATAGTATGTCCCAAAGCTTGCATACTCTGCTACTACACACTCTAAAGTAGAGCCCGACCGATATATCATTTTGCCGATATTATCAGCCGATATGAGCCTGTTGCTGATATATTGGTATCGGCGAATATGCTGCCGATATGAACATTTTTTTACAGAACATATAACGCAGATAAAATGCTTGAAATGGTGTAATTACTTAGTTTGTCCAGCATTGTTTGCTACTGGCGACCTGGATGAAACGCTTTTGAAGCTAAAGTCTATGGAAAACCATTGAAACTCTGAATCCGCACCAAATTTGGGGGATCCCTTCAGCTCGAGGAACCCTCTCAAACGCGAATCGAGTGTACGTCTAGAGGCCCGCTTTCGAATGAGACCACCCCCGCGTTGATAGCCTCCGGGGTTCAGGAGTTACGGGTGGTTAAATTCGCGGTCCGGCGCCGACCGATCAAGCAATCCCGGGGGGCTACCGACGCGCGGAGGGTGGCGATCGTGAGGGCTCCCCGAGCTGAAGGGATCCCCCGAATTTGGTGGAGATCCGCCGGCGCGCTCGTGAGATAGTGACACCAGTCAACACTTTCACTTCAGTAAGGAGGTCTCTTGTTCAGGCAGCAGCATTCAAGCGTTGTCTTATTTGACCGTAAGTGCCCTGCGAATTGGACTTCACATGAAATTCCGCCATGATTCCAGTTCCAAGGGAACATACACGTTACATTCAAAGGGCATTAAAGTGCGCGAGACGTGGACATAATTTACTCAAGATGGCAGCGGCCATACTGAGATGCTTTGGCTTCACTTTTCAATAGTGGAAGGAATAGGAGACGCGTCGTTACTCATTCCCGCAGCTTTCGAGTTTAAAATGAGGGAAATTCCTGCACATATTTATTCAATATAGCATGCAGGTTAGATGAGCAAATAAATCCACACAGACTGTCAGATTAAATCAGTCATTTGAAAACCGCGTGAGTGATTCAGCTGTACCGCGTCTTCTCTCTTTCACTCTCTCAAAGTGGCTTCACATTGGCGTATCTCATCTGCACTAAAAGAGCTGCTGTGATACAAGACTTTCACTCGCGTTTCGGGACAGTTGACAGATGGCAGGGGCCACTTGTGTTTTTAGGGAGCACACTTTTAAAATTCTACTTAAGGTTCTATTCTAACCTACTATCAGTAATATTCATTGTCATTTTTTACCATGTCATGTATCACTGCAATCGCTAGAAGTAAGCTATAACAATTTCAACTCAAATGAATGTTTCATCATGTTTCATTTATGTGACAAATAATATTGTATATAATAATGTAGTGTGATACAATACAAAAGCTCCTCGTTGAAGTGCATTGTCTCCTTTGAGTAATTTCCTCTTGACATAAAAGTTATGGCACAATGAATTACTTTTTTCCATTACTGCCACCCACAGGAAAAACTGCACATTGCACCCAAAATTGTTTGGTGTGGTACGATTCAAGCCCTGCGTCCCAATGTTCATACTATGCATCCTAAATAGTATGTGAGATTAGAATTAGTGTGTCCCAGAGCATAGTATGTTGAAAATAGTATGCCGCCAGTTTACAGTGACAGGGTGCGTGTAACTGCGGCAGAGGGGTCCGATTAAAGACTCGATGTGACGTGATAGTATGTCCCAAAGCTTGCATACTCTGCTACTACACACTCTAAAGTAGAGCCCGACCGATATATCATTTTGACGATATTATCAGCCGATATGACCCTGTTGCTGATATATTGGTATCGGCGAATATGCTGCCGATATGAACATTTTTTTACAGAACATATAACGCAGATAAAATGCTTGAAATGGTGTAATTACTTAGTTTGTCCAGCATTGTTTGCTACTGGCGACCTGGATGAAACGCTTTTGAAGCTAAAGTCTATGGAAAACCATTGAAACTCTGAATCCGCACCAAATTTGGGGGATCCCTTCAGCTCGAGGAACCCTCTCAAATGCGAATCGAGTGTACGTCTAGAGGCCCGCTTTCGAATGAGACCACCCCCGCGTTGATAGCCTCCGGGGTTCAGGAGTTACGGGTGGTTAAATTCGCGGTCCGGCGCCGACCGATCAAGCAATCCCGGGGGGCTACCGACGCGCGGAGGGTGGCGATCGTGAGGGCTCCCCGAGCTGAAGGGATCCCCCGAATTTGGTGGAGATCCGCCGGCGCGCTCGTGAGATAGTGACACCAGTCAACACTTTCACTTCAGTAAGGAGGTCTCTTGTTCAGGCAGCAGCATTCAAGCGTTGTCTTATTT